CAGGCATCGACTAATTTCCTTAGAGTTGGCATAGTTATGGGCAATCTAGGCTTTACTGTCTCGGTCCCATGGCACCGCTGAACACCCTTCAACACTCTCTTGAGAAGCCAGGTCTCGATCAGGGGATCCTCTAGACCCTGTTCAATGTGTGCATTCCGTACAGCTTGCAAATAAACAGATATCGTGCAAGGGCGGACAGAGCGAGCAAGAAAAGCGCAAAAGCAGCTGAGGGTAAGATCAGAAGCTGGGTAAGGTTGCAGATTGCAAAGGGAGCAGAAACTGACAAAACGACACTCACCGGCAGAGTAGGTGCGTCTGGTATTAGCAGCAATTGCACAGGCAGCGTACTTAGTAACTTCACTCACAAGACTGCTGGAAGACGAGCACGGTCTGGACTCGGCCGCGCTAACGGAGCATGACGTCGAAATTCCTGCATAAAAAAACGAGAAAGGCAATCTGCAATGACATTCTTGGAGCCAGCAATGTGCACAGCGCTAACATGAAAGTTGAACTCATAGCAAACGAAGAACAGTTCGCGTAGCAACTTCATCACAGCTGGGGCTTTGCACGTGCCCGAACGGATGCAGTCCACTACCGCCGAGTTGTCGCAGTGTACCCGAATCCGGAGCTTAGCCCATTCGTCGCCCCATGTGGCGCAGGCTGCCACGAGGGCAAACAGCTCCTTCCACTCAATAGACTGCAGCATCTGGGCACTGTTCCATGAACCTTGAATCCATTTCCCGTTGTTGTAAGCACCCCAGCCGTGAGTGCCACTTGCATCTGTGTATAGCTGGAGATCTGGTGATGGGGTCCAGTTAGGGTGCAAGAAGAAAGACTTCCCGTTCCACTCACTTAGTAGCCTCATCCACCATAGCAGGTCATCCACGCATTCTTGGGTCAAAGTTATTGAGTAGTGTGGTTGCTGAAACCGTGAGCAGAGGGACCACAGACGACGCATGAAGGTACGGCCTGGAGTGATGACACGGGCAGCAAACGAGAGCTTACCCAATAGGGACTCGAGTTGGCGTTGGGATATCTTCCGGCTGTTGATCGTGCTGGCCAATAGCGATCGGAGGTCGTTGAGCTTGTCCATGGGGAGCCTGGCCTCGAGCCGCTCGCAGTCCAGAATAATGCCGAGGAACGTCAGTGATCTCGCGGGACCTTCCACCTTTGCTGGCGCTAGCGGCACGCCCAAATAGATGAAGGCTCGCAGCAGGATTGCTAGTTGACGCTGGGCGACAGTATGGCCAGTTGTGACGTTTAGGAAGTCGTCCAAGTAGTGGAATAGGTCGGCAATGGAGAAATGGTTCCGGATAATCCACTCTATGGCCGAGGCAACGGAATCGAAAATGGCTGGGCTGGAGCGAAGCCCAAACGGTAGCACCCGCTCGTAATAGTAGTTGCCTTGCCAGAATATGCCGAGTAGTGAGTGGTCTTCAGCACGAACTGGGATTTGCCGGAATGCACTTTTGATGTCCAGCTTTGCGAGGTACACCGGCTGAGGTGAGGACATAATAGACTCGATTGCATCGTCAATACTGATGTAGTGCAGGGAAATTTGGTGCTGGCACAAGCTAAAAGTCACCACTAATTAGACTAGTCTTTAAAGTGAAGCCAACAGCAAGAAAGAAAGAGAAAGTTCAAAGGAAGCAGTTGTACGACGTCAGGCTAAGCGCGCCCGAATCCATGCGCTGGCAGTGTACTAGTGTGAGTGCAGTGAGCAAAAGTTCAAAGGAAGCAGTTGTGTGACGTCAGGCCAAGCGTGCCCGAATCTATGCGCTGGCAGTGTGAGTGCAGTGCACAATGCACCGATGCAGCGGTGCGCGGCAGATGCAAACATGGCAGTGTGATCGGTGGATGCTAACACACACTAACTACATTACTGCGACAACAGCAGTACATTACACCTAGAACATTAACGGCCAAGCTTGGCCACACTAAACACGACACGTTACTTGAACTATTTCAACCCAATTATACTATCTTTCTGTACACACAAATTAGGTTTATACAGACGCTGATAGATAGCTTCCAACATTTTTAACTGTAGTCCATAACCATGACGACCACGGCACAATACAGTGAACAAAGAGTCGGAATACGAATTGCAACAATCAGGACTAGCTAGCAGATGATTGTACACTGAAGACTTGCTACCACGAAACCTACGCACAACACTAACACTCTCACCGGCACTCTCACCATCACTCCCATCACTGCTCTCCGACTCACGAAAACTTGTTTGAATCCATATTTTTCCCTACATCATTTCTTTATATTTTCATCGTTTTATTGCACATCGTCTCCACCGTTTTTACATTGCATGAATAAAGTACACAAATGTCGGTTCAGCTAGTTTTATTGATTGCGGTTATCAAATTATTGTCTCCTCGCCGTGTGTTTAACATCCCAATGCTTTTTTTTGTCTAGGTCATCAAGGCAAAAAAGCATAGCGTAGGGCCCTGAGCTTCCAAGCTCTCTCGTTGCAGTATATTTATTTATTTTATTCCAAGCAATACATGGCTGGGGTAGCCTATGACCACTTTGCATGGCGATTGCAGGGATTTTGTAGCCAACCACGGCTACCCATACTAGGGTCCAGTGCCAAAGCTAGTATTGCAAGCACAAATGTGCATTAGGGCGCGTTTGAATTGTTCTCACCACCTTTTCGAGAAACATCTTAGAAGAGATCAGTTGAAGTATCCCAATAGAACGGTTGCTGTCGGCCTCACTAGTTCCTTTGGAATTGTCATAGCAAGGAGATTATCCCGGGGCAATTGTGCCTCCCAAGTGAAAATGGGCTTCCCTAACCGTATGTGCAAGTTCTGTTGCAGATTCTACGGGAAATGCATACAAAATGCAGTTTTGGCAGGAATACTCCCAGCTCTTCTAAACGAATCCAAAGTTCCCATCGGATAAGGTTTTGGAGTTTTGCGGAGATTTTCGTTTTCTGAAGAGGCCAATAGGCTACCTCTTCAGAAAAAGTAAACTCATCGAAAAGTCAAAGAGTGACAATTCAAACGTCCCCCCCCCCCCCCTCCTTAGCTGACAAATGCCTGACGTAGAGTGTGTGTGGGGGGGGGGGGGGGGAGGGGCAACAAGCCCGCCGAGAATTCAGATGTGTCAGTGCACGACCATTCGGCGAAGTAAGGGCGGATGCCTTTGTGAGCATATGTAGGCGCACTTGACTCAATGCCGGCCTGACCCACGATCCCCACTGTTCTCCCTTTCGCAATGTTGTTGTATGCTTTTTTTGGAAATAAAAACAGGCAAAATGCCTAAAAATATTGGACCCGCTGTGAATAAAAATGTTAAAGGATATTGCCGAGTGGCTTGATGGAATGATGGTTAAAGGTGATGGGGTGGGAGCAGGGGTGTAGTTCGCACATCTGTGGTGTGGTGACCATGTGCTGCAGCATATCTGTGGCGTGGTGACCCTGTACCTCGTAGTCGCCATTTATACCTATTTTCACTATGACTTGTTGTACGTATGACGGCCATTTGCAGGTGTGTTGCCCGGACTACGCTGACTATAGACAAGCTGTGGTGGTGATTGGGAGCTGGCCAAGGTTCTCAATCAGTTCTTTGCGCAGCAAAAAGCACGGAGAAACAGCCTCTCTAGCTGGAAGTAATGAGCATGCTCCGCGCAGTCCCGTGCCAAAACGTGGGAATTCGTCATCCATATTATACAGAACAGTATATTACTACATGTATTATAAATCCACAATTACAATGACGTTATGCCAAAAAACATGTGATGTGGGCGATTTTAGCCGGCCATGGTGGCGAAAACTCATGTACATGTCACGGGCGTTGGAGGGTATTTTAGTGTGATACGGTCAGCCTTCTGAGGTACAATTTACTCGTGGGGGGGGGGGGGGTGGGGGGCTGAACCGAAAATTTAGAAATCTAGAGGCCAAAAGGCTGTACGGTCAATACCGAAGTGACCGTACCGTGTCCGGCACCCCTGCATGTGTTGCGCTATGCCAAAAATATAGATGGGTTGCTAACTCCATTTACCCTGCTATGCATGGGAACTTCTAATTTTCTGTCTTTAACCACACCCCCCTTCACACACAAACACACACACACACGCACAAATACACACACACACACACACATATGCACACACACACACACACACACACACACACACACACACACACACACACACACACACACACACACACACACACACGCGCACACGCACACGCATACGCGCACGCGCACGCGCACACACACACACACACACACACACACACATCCACATACACATACACACACACACACATACACACACACACACATGCACACAACATGCACACACGCAAGCACATATGCACACATGCAAACATACACACACACACACACACACACACACACACACACACACATACCCACACACACATACACCTTGACCTTGACCTTGATCTTGCCCATTGCTTACGCAATGATAGCGAATGTCGGAAAGTTCAAGTGAGAACACGAGCGCAGAACTTGGCATGTCGTTTCAGATCTCCTGGTCGACGAAATGGGCGTCCACAGACACATAGAAGAGGATCAGGAGCGGGCCGTGGCTGTGGGGTGCTACTCGCAACTCGTCTCCAGCCGGGACGATCTTGGCACCTCTCAAGCCAGGTGGTCACGCCGAGGTCCGCCAGGTCAGTCGACACCACATCTCGCCACCTCTTCTTCGGGCTGTGACGAGGACGGGGGGCAGGCAGCTCGCCGAACAGCAATTGCTTCGGTGCGCGTGAGTCGTTCATCCTGTCGACGTGACCCAGCCAACGAAGCCGGTGGCGACGAATGATACGGGTGATATCAGGGTCAACACCGAATGTAGCTGCTAATGTGGCCGTTGAGATCCACACATACACACACACACACACACACACACACACACACACACACACACACACACAGAACGATAACATAGCATTGCTACCAAGAGTATTGTTTTGGAAACTCATGTACTTTCTGATTTGCATTCCTGCGTACAGCCTACTCAATGATTGCACCCACACCTGCACCTGTTTACAGCAATTCGCAAGGTGAGTGTATGGATCCATGCATTTGTGAAAGAATCTTGAAATTTACAGAACGCTGTCTGGGCGGGTATACGGTATACGGACCACCATTTTGCCATGCGTGTCTTTTCATGACCATTTCACTTTTCAGAATAGTACGCAGCCCTCGTGCCCATTCACACTCTCGCACAATTTCCTTCATCTGCATACTGTAAAACATGTAATTTTAGGTGCATTAAAAGTTCAGTGCCTGCCAGGTTTCAGGTGTAATGTAGAATTAGGTGACCAGCGGTCCCTTCACATACAATGCATACTCTAGTGCCTTTAGGTGTAATCTAGATTTAGGTGCCTGGTTTCTCTACCGAAATCACCGAAATTAAAGTTACACCGAAAATTTCATGTTTTACAGAATCCGTTTATCAGTACAGTCAGACCTCGCATAACCGCACACATCCGATTTCCAGAACAAAAAACCAGATAGGCAAGGGAACCGGATAATCGAACACATATACTGTGTGTGTGTGTGTGTGTGTGTGTGTGTGCGTGCGTGCGTGCGTACGCGTGTGTGTGTGTGCGTGTGTGCATGGCATATGCTGTACATCAGTAACCAACGATTTTCTTGGATGGCGAGGGATCCGGGTAAACGAGGACCGGATAAACGAGGTCTGACTGTACCTTTCCCAAGCTATTCCGTTGCATCCTTTTTTGAATCTGTGTCTCTAATTTCCAGCTAGCAATCTTCCGTCGACTGCATCTGAAAACACCTCATCATCACCTGGAAACACCTCATCATCACCTGGAAACACCTTATCAACATCTACCGCAGGTAGGAATGTGTTCATTTGCTAGCCCAGCTGTCCCACTGCACGCACAGACATTGAAGACAAGGTTTGAGCTAGACTGGAAGCCCAGCTGTCCCACTGCACGCACAGACATTGAAGACAAGGTTTGAGCTAGACTGGTAGGCTTACACCGCACTTCCACTTGGTAGGACAGATGTGGAAGTGGGCTGCTAACGGGGTTACGCTTACACCCGGACATCTGCATGGTAGGACGAATGCAGAGGAGCTGGTAACCTGGAGTTGGGTGTCAGCTCAAAGGCTTACGGGGTGCTTTGCAGCCACCTACTCCATGTGAATGCCACTCAAAAATGAAATTGACGGGGGCGGGGAGGCGTGAGCCCCAATCTAGCTGACCTTAACATGGGAACTATATGCAAGTGCACAGCGGGATTCAAGGACATAAATGCATTTGAGTCTACAGCAGATAGTGTCAAGAGGACAGGCGCCATCAACTATGCAGGGAGCAGCGTGGGAGAGCAAAAGCACTCATACGGAGAGGAGTGCTAGGAGGGCAGTGCGGACGCTCCTGCCGCCAGCAGTGCTTAGGGGGGCAGTGTGGTCACCGCGACCTATAGCGAGTAGTGTTAGGGAGCAGTGCTGTCACTCATACAGCAGATAGTGTCAAGGGGGCAGTGCCGTCACTCAGGCAGCTGATAGTGCTAGGAGGGCGGTGCATGTACTCACGCTGTCGCCAGTGCCTTCGCGATTGGCTCCATGTCCGATTCTGACAGACGGACATACCGGAGGTAAGCGTTGCTCGGCCATCGGCCGGCCCTTTGGGTTGTATTGTATTGTATTGCTCATATTTACATCGCAAGTCAAACGGGCAATCATGCCCAATGTTATGATGACGATGGAAGGGGAGAAAAGATTAAGAACAAGATTAGTTATCCTGGATTATGGGGAATGAAGAAAACAGTGAGTCTAGGAATCTCTCCTGAGATCATCTTAACATTGGTCATGAAAGTAGACTTTCAATGGACGTGAGAGTTGAGATGTGCTAGGGCAGGCCAACTAGAGGGGAATGCTAGGCTGTGAGATTCCGAAGTACATCTATTCTGTGTTTGTTTTATGTAATGCATTGCAAATCCAAGGACAATCATCCCTAAATGGATAAAATCTAAGATAGGTGGAGTAAAGAATACAGTGAGTATGGAGAACTCTCGGGATAGGGAACATCCTAGCATTAGCCATGAAAGTAAACTTTCAATAAACGCTTGAATCGGCATGTGGTAGGGCATGACTTTAAGGACGAGGGCAAAAGATTCCACAACTTAGCAGCAGCAAAAACTGGTCTGTGAGATCCAGAAGTACTGCGGATGTTGGGAAGGGGCAGATTGCAGGCATCCTGATTTCTGGTGGCACGGGGCAGTGAACTGTATTCCAGGCGTGATTTGAGCAGCAAACTGACATTGCCGTGAAGAATGTGGTGTACGAGAAGCCGCAACTTGCTATCCACCCGCTCGACAGCCGGACAAATGCCGAGTTGGGCATACAGCTGCATAGTGTGGGCACGCGAGGGCTGGGTTGTGATACAGCGGATGCAGCGCTTATCCAGTCTGATGAGGGTCTGTTTGAGGC